CAGGAGACTGAAATGATTTTACTTGCCTGTGGGAGGGCAGGGCAGATAACCTGTGAAGTTCCTACTGTGGGCAGTGCCAGGACTGTATACTATTTTGAGGACTTCTCAGCATGGGACTCCTGTCAAAAGACTCAGCAGACTGTTCTTTTCACCCAGAACATTACAGGAAAATGGGGCTTTTCTATCTACCAACCTGGAAATCTTCAGAAATTTAGCTTCTGATTAGTATGCATATTACTCTCATTATCATCAATCAGAAAAGAAATTTATGTGGGGCCGCTTCTTAATGGGAGGGGGATGTCACTCTGGTGCACAGTAGTATCTTCCTTCTCTACGTTGTAAACCACTGACTGATTCCACCACACCTGGCGTTCTGATGATACAGTTATTTACTGTTCACTAGTTATTCACTGGTCACACATTAGGCTTATCTCTTCAACTACATCACAGCTTTTTAACGGACAGGAACTATTCCTCAGACATATGTTGAAAAGTTTTCTCTGTTCCTAGCATAAAGTTGAGCACTTAAGAAAAACAGTATACTTATTAAACTGAACCGAAAGTCTGTTCCTGAGGATGAATGAATTTGAGGAGAAGCTTGTAAAGCACCTGTTACATGTGGAGTCTTAACATGAAAAACTCACTGGAGCTCTGTGGTTCCTTGGTTCCCGGGCATAGGAAAGCTCATAGATTTCATCCTCAGTGTAGTAGAGATCCAGGGATAGCTGCGGATCAAAGCAGAACAGGGTTCATTGCTAAGATGCTGTTTGCCTCTCCCATGGCTGATGGCTCTTTCTTGGATTATCCTGGCCAGTAGTTTACTCTTTTAGGCTCTAAACAGTTTGTTTTTAAAATTCACAAAACAGGTAGAACACCTACTACTGCAATAGGGCAAGCATTACTTCTTTCTCATTAAAATGTTTTTAAATTTTGGACATATCTCAGGATGCTCTCTTTTTAACTATGATTTAAATCTAAGCCTCTATGTAGAGCTTAGGCCAAAGGCCTTGTCTGGACAGATGACCAATACATCACTTGTTCTCTCTCAAAGCAGAAAGATGATCTAAAAGGATGGTGTGTATGGTCTGAGACTATTAAATTTGAGTCCAACAATAAAATTCAGTTTAAATGGTAAGACATATTAATTGATATTAAGAGGTAATGAGTCTGGGTGCATGGTGGCTCATGCTTGTATTCCCAGCATTTTGGGAGGCCAAGGCAGGTGGACTGCTGGAGCTCAGGAGTTTGAGACCAGCCTGGGCAAAACATGGCAAAACCCTGTCTCTACAAAAAATACAAAAGTTAGCCGGACGTGGTGGCGTGTGCCTGTGGTCCCAGCTACTCAGGAGGCTGAGGTGGGAGGATGGCTTGGACCTAGAAGGCAGAGGTTGCAGTGAGCTGAGATTGCACCACTGCACTCCAGTCTAGTTGATAGAGCCAGATCTTGTCTCCAAAAAAAAAAAGAAAAGAGTTAATGAGTTTCATATATCTTAGAACTATAAAATGTTAGGAGAGAAATCCTCAGGAATATCTTATTCTTAACCTTGAGTCTGTGGATAGGCTTCAGGGAGTTCAGAACTTGAAATTACATGCATATTTAAAAATATATGGCTTATGGGCCAGGCACAGTGACTCACGCCTATAATTCCAGCACTTTGGGAGGCCGAGGTGGATGGATCATGAGGTCAAGAGATCAAGACCATCCTGGCCAACACGGTGAAACCCCATATCTACTAAAAATACAAAAAATTAGCCGGGCGCAGTGGCGGGCACCTGTAGTCCCAGCTACTTGGGAGGCTGAGGCAGGAGAATGGCAGGAACCTGGGAGGCAGAGCTTGCAGTGAGCTGAGATGGCGCCACTGCACTCCAGCCTGGGCAACAGAGCGAGACTCGGTCTCAAAAAAAAAATATATATATATATATATAAAATATATATATATAAATATATAATGTATAAATAATATATAAATATATAATATATAAATATATATAAATATATAATATATAAATATATAAATAAATTCATATATATTATATATTTATATTATATATTTATACATTATATATTTATATTTATACATATATTTATAAATATATATAAATATATATATGGCTTATGTACATTTTTCTGGGAAGAAGGGTCACAGCTTTCATCACAAGATTTATAATCCAAAGAATGTTAAGGTTCAGTGCATGTTTTTACAAATGATATCTGAGGCACAGACTTGCCAAGGTCACCTGGCTAATAAGTGAAAGGACTAGGATCACACACCAGCTGATGTGAAGCCCAGGGTTCTATCACAATGCTGCTGTGAGGCAGAAAGAGGTTATGATCATTATTCTACTCCCCAAAAACAGCAGGTTAAAAACTGTATAACTAGAACTGGAAGAGAAGTTAGAAGTCATTCCAGAGACTAATCCCTCTGAGGAGAGGAATCTTGGAGGGTTATATGTCCATAATCACACAGCTGGTGACCTACAGAACTGCAGGTCTGGAAGGGAGTTCTTCTGATCTCACCCCATACTCAAGATGCAAATCCTGTTCTCTCACACCACTGGCAAGTGTTCATCTACCCTTCGCTTGAATATCTCCAAGAGCAAAGATCTAAGCCAGGAACCAAAGAATAACTCTGGGTGTTTTTTGTTTTTTCACTTACTGCCTGCCCTTTTTATGAGAGCACATTCATTCTCTTCATCTTTTACGAAGACTTATATCCTAATTTGCCATCAGCTCCTCTGAGAGAGCTTAGGACTGCTTTTGTAGGGGTAGTGAAACAGTCCTAGAAGTCTGAAGGGCACAGCCTCTAGAGTCCCAGCACCTGGGTCTGAATCAAGCCTCTGCTACTTAATAATGTGTGGTCTTCTGGCAAGGTGGATCTTTGTGCCTTAGTATCCCTATCTATATGTTGGAGAGAATAATAGTATCTGCTTCATAGAGTGAGGATTAATAGCTAATATTTGGTAAGGTGTATAGAATGGCACCTGGCACGGAGAAAGTGCTTAGTAAGTGTTCTCCTGTGTGAACCTCACCGTCAGCAAGTGTACCAAGTCCTTGTTGGCCTCCAAGGGTGGGGCCACCTCTTGCAGCTGGACCAATTCACTGATATGATTATACAGGGCCAGTAGCTTGTGGACGTTCACTTTCCCGTCCTCCAGGTAGTCAGGCATGGCTTCATACAGGGAGATGAGGTCCTTTAGATGCACACCCAGAATGGGGATCTTGAAGTCGGTGCACTCTCCATAGGCTCGCCGATAATTGTCATAGTTTCTGGAGGAGGACAGCAGCTCAGTCATCTCACCGAGAACCTACAAAGCAGAACAGACCAATCACAGGTACCCGCTAGGTAGTGTGTATTGTCCGTAATGACCACCTTGCATATTTGCATCACCTGCCGTGATCTCATCCCATCCAGAATTTGTTGAGCAGGGGGTTATTCATGTAAACGGTACAGATTATGACTCCCCAATTAAAACCTCAGCTATGTCAAATATCACAATATATTTACAAACACAAGATATGATTGAATCTATTATATTACTTAAACATTATAAATGGGGGTTTTATCATTTTTATTTTAAAATGTCTTTCTTTTCAAAAATAAGGACCTGATACAAAAATTTAAAAGGTGCAAGAATATATAGTGAACACTATCCCTCTAACTCCTGTCCCCAAGCCATGTGATTACTTTCCTTGGTGTCTTCTTAATGCTTCCAGAGACACTGCATTGATTAACAGTTGAAATGTGATGTCAGGAAATGTTGCTGGCACGGGGAAGAGCATGTGTTTTAAGAGTGGAGCTTCAGTAGTCTATTGTGTGTTATTCTCTATGAGGTGCTCGGTGGGCCTTTCAGGATTCTCAGAATGGGCCTATGACTAGAAAGCAAGTGACATTCCATTCACAGACTAAAACCTTGAACTAAAAACCTGAATAGACCAGATCAATTCCGAGCAAAGGACAGGAGAGAGGACACTAGAGGTTACACCCTGCTTCAACCCTGGAAGTGGGAATGGCTGCTCACCAGCACAGAAAGGGAGCAGCCAGATCTGGTTTTCTATTCAATCACATGTCATTCAAGTCAGCAAGCAGTTCACAGAATCCATTCCCCACGAGTGATAACCAGCTTTCTCAGAAGCAAAGACATGAAGTGACTGTCTGCCAATCATGTTATCATACAACATAAGGAGTCCTCTCTTATCCTTAGGGGGATACAGTCCAAGATGCCTAAATGATGCCTGAAACAGTGCATAGTAACAAACCCGACTGCTGTCAAGTGGAACACATTTCTGTTCATGTTTTCCACCCACGAATGTAATGCCATTCCCATCATGCACTGTGGCCATAACTTTTGCAGTTTGAAGTGCAAAAGAGAAACTAGAATGAACTTCTTTCCTTTTTCACAATTTCATAGATGAAATTCCTTCTTTCTTAGATCTTAGCAACCTCAGCATATGATTTTTTTCTTTCCTTATTAAGTGAAGAACTTAGAGGAAACACTTTGGGCTGTTCTCTGGTGTATCCAAATTGCCAACATCATTACTCTTGCATCATTACATTACAACATCATTACTGTGGGGCCATTATTAAATAAAGTGAGAGTTACTTGAACACAAGCGCTGCAATACCATGACAGTCAATCTGATGACCGAGATGGCTACTTAGTGACTGATACGAAGGAGTCACAGAAAGGATGGAGTGGGATGGCTTAAGATTTCATCATGCTACTCAGCACAGTATGCATTTTTAAACTTATGAATTGGCCAGGCATGGTGGTTCATGCCCGTAATCGCAGCACTTTGGGAGACCGAGGTAGACGGATCACCTGAGGTCCAAAGTTCAAGACCAGCCTGGCTAACATGGTGAAACTCCGTCTCTACTAAAAACACAAAATTAGCAGGGCGTGGTGGTGCACACCTGTAGTCCTAGCTACTTGGGAGGCCGAGGCAGGAGGATTGCTTGAACCTGGGAGGTGGAGATTGCAGTGAGCCGAGACTGCGCCACTGCACTGCAGCCTGGGCAACAGAATGAGACTGTCTCAATCAGTCAATCAATCAATAAAATAAAACTTATGAATTGTTTATTTCTGGGATTTTCCATTAAATTTTTTTTGGACTGCAGTTGACCTCAGGTAACTGAAACTACGGAAGACAAAACCTCAGATAAGGGGGGACTACTGTAACCCTTTTAGACACAGTGCCCAAACTTAATAAAATTGTGGCCTACAAAATACCAGTTTTCCACAGTGAAGAGCTTGGAGTTCTTGGAGTCAGACCCCTTCAAATCACTGGGAGATGGCAAGAGAGCTTCCTCCTCATAAACCTCCACCAACGGTGCAGGTGAGCCCCAGGCATGGAAGGGGTTCCCACGACAAGAGTGTAACAGCAAAAATGATAGAGATATTTTTATTTCCCTCCGAAGGTGAAATCAACAACTTGGGGACTTCGGCTTCAACCCTGGACTTACTAATTCACTATGCAGACCATCCTGAGGGTCAAGTAGCTACTACAGGAAGCACTGCTGTGGGGGACGCCAAGCCAAAGAGCAGCAAGCTCTCTCTTGTAAGCTAAACCGACTTGAAGACTTCTTTATCTCTGTGACTGTTTCTGTCACCTCTGAGGCGCGGGCAATCTTTTCAACTGCTGCGCCTGGTTTCAGCAGAACTGTTAAGGAATGAAGAGGTGACTAAAGATGATGCCCTTTTGATCAGACCACTGGGGAGTGGGGGGCCTCTCCAGAGGCCCAACACTGTGATAACAGATAAAAGACTCCCCAAAAGGGAGCTGAACACCTGGGAAAAACAGCTAGGGCAATGAACTCAGGTATCTCTCCCTAAAAACAGAGTTCCTCTTCATGCCAGTTTGGAAAGATCTGGGCTTGAGTATAGTAAGGTCCTTTTACATGAGATGAAAGAGCTCAAAGAGCAGACATTATCTAACCCATGCCATACATTTATATCCTCAGTATATCACAGTGGTTTATATTTATAACAGCAGCTCCAGCTGGGCTCAGTGGCTCATGCCTGTAATCCCAATACTTTAGGAGGCTGAGATGGGAGAATCGCTTGAGGCCAAGAGTTGGAGACGAGCCTAGGCAACATAGGGAGACCTTATCTCTACAAAAATTTAAAAAAATAGCTGGGCATAATGATGCACATCTATAGTCCTAGCTACTTGGTAGGCTGAGGTGGGAGGATCGCTTGAGCCTAGGAGTTTGAGATTGCAGTGAGCTATGATCATGCCAGCCTGCGCTCCAGCCTGGGTGACAGAGCAAGACCCTGTTTCTGTAAAAAAGAGAAACAAGCAAAACAGCCCTAGGTCATAAAAGATTAAAGTATATTCTGTAAAATCTAATAATGTAGGAAAATGCACAGGACATTTAAGAAAAATATTCATTAATAAAACATTATATATTACAAAATGGTATCTGAAGAACTCATATCCAATTATCTGCTAAAATTCAACTATCCAGAATGTCATTCTCTAAGGGTTCTGGATAGCTAGGTTTTTAACATATCACTATATAACTACACTCAATGTGCGAACTGACCTGTAGTCAACCGAACCACAATTCTCTTTGAGAACACATTTTAGAGCAAAGAGCTGCAGTGAGGGAATCTGTCAAAGATGGTAACTGAATATTCAGTGGCCTATGCACATGGGAAGAGGCACGCATTGTTTCAACTGGTCCAGCAGGAACATTTGCAGTGACACTGTCTGAGGCCAGACAAAATCACAGTTACTGTAAAAAATGTGACTTCTCCATCCTATGGATTTCCTTAAGGTTTCACTCCCTGCCGCTTAGCCTGGTTGACAAGGGATGGTATGGTTTGGAAATGCTCTCTGGGCTGTCCCCCCAAGGAGAAAATGTTGGCATACGTCCTGAGAATGCTGCTAAGGGTCCCAGAGAAGACAGTAGCACTGACCTTATTGATTTCATGTGGGACATGCGAACTTGTCTCCTTGAGCCTCGAGATTGAGCTGTGACACAGCCCACCTATCACAGCCATCAGTGTATTGAAGTTCTGTAGTTGGTGGAGCTTCTGTGACACAGAAGACAGATGACAGCAGAGTCACTGTACATGTCAGTTACATGGGGAGCTTAGAGGCTGCCTCTTATCTCTGTGCCATGAGTCTCCCTTACACTGGCTGAAGACTAGTTACGAGGCATTGCAATTCCCTGTCCATGTCTCCCCTTCTTCTTAATTCGAACTGGTAGATTCCAAATCTGGGAGGTGTTACATCTCTCTCCTTTTGTTGTAGCTGATCTGTGGACCACCTTCTAGATCAGTGCTTTCTTAGAATCACCTAAAGTATTGGTTTAACACAATGGTTTCTGGACCAAACCCAGACATTCTGATTACCTGGATCTGGGGTTAGGCTTGGAGATCTGTACTTTTAATATGCCTTTAGTTAAATCAGAGCAGGTGATCCAAGGTCAGGGCTGTTGACTTTGAGAAACACTGATCTAGACCATCCAGAGTTGGAGAAAGATATTATTAAGTATAATCTTTTATTTATTCCAAATTTACCAGACTTTTATTTTTGAGGGTAAGGACTTTGTCTTATTTTCCCATGCAATGCCAGTGCCTATGTAGGACAGTAACTGGGACAGAGAAGCTGGAATCTCTGGGGAACTTCAAATATGGGTTCATAGTACCTGTTTTCCTCTTATAAAATGCCCCTCAAACATTAAATGCAGCCATTCAACATGGCATGGGCTCAAAGACCTAAGACAATTCAGGCTGGTCCAGCTCCAGTAAATCTTAGAACTGCCCTTTCCCTTGCCATGTGGGCCAGACTCGGGAAAATAACGTAGGCTGGTAAGCATCTTTCGAAAAATGTTAAAGATCTAAACAGATCCCAAACTGGATCCTGACCCCTGATATGGCCTGTATGGCCCCCTCCCCTCCACACTGTCCTTGTATGGAAGAATAGACAAATCACCAGATCTAGATCAGGTTGAAGGCACACAAACCTCCCCACCCCCCACCATGGTTCAGGAGGGAAATCAACAGCTCTAATAGGCTAAGCTGGAGGAAAAGGGGATAGAAGGTATACCTCATAGCCCAAGCCAAAAGTCTCAAACCAGTTATTCACCTGAGCCACCTGGATGAACTTGATGAAGACTTCTGCTCGGAGCTGCGGGGTGGGGCGGCTGAGAACCATCAGTTGTACCCACTGGGAGATACCATTGCACAGAGCAATAGATCTCTCCATGGTGGGGTTTTCCTTCACACAGCTATTTACAAGGTAATTCTGATAATCAGAGAACTGCAGGAAAAGAAAAAAGAAGAAAAAAAAAAAAACTATCAGTACTGTACTCTGGTATTCCAGAAGATTTAAGGGACAAGTCAGGTCTGCTCAGTTGATGGCTGGGAACTGCCATGGAACAGAGGAGCTCCTGGCCCTTTTCTACAGCATCTTGGCCACCTGCCAACAAGCATGGTGGGAGGAAAATCTTTCTTATTCTACCCACAGCGTGATCTCTGCATCGAAAGTTATTAGGAATAAGTGGATGTGTAGACACATTAGTTAATCCAAATACTGTATTTCAGTAGATATTGTTACCGACTGTTCTAAATTCTGAAGAATACAGTACAGAATAAAGATCAATATTGCTGCAAAGGTTAAGGGAATAAAAGGTAATTCCCCTGACAAAAACAAATCTCTCTTTCCCCAGCTGTTTTCTTACCTTAAAAATGTGATCATAAAATCTGCCCTATCTAGGACATAGAATTGTTATGAAGATCAAAGAAGATAATGTGTGAAAGCTTTAACTTTTTAAAGTGCTATGTATATGTAAGGTTGTGCTAGTGGAGTAGTTATGAATCTCATGCTAATACAAGCCTGTTTGTATTTCCTTCTCACCAACTTGAGCAGAGGCAAATGGAGTACATAAAACGTGGTTAGCTATATGTTCGCTGACCATGGTTTCTCAACTTGACAATAGCATTGACTATGGTTGGCAATGAAACAGCATGTGTAAAACTGGAAGTGTCCCTGAAGATCTAGTCTAAGTGATGTTTGTAGCTATTGTGTCCCTGTCACAAAGAATCCCTCTGCTCAAATTGTATAACCAAGAGGGAGGCACAGTCTGTTTTGTTCTTCTTCAACATTCCTATGGAAGTCTTTGGTGCTTTTCCCCAATTACTTCTAACTCTTCCCTTTGAAAGAAGGTGTGACCATATGACATAGTTCAGCCAGCAGAATGTTGAGTGGAAGCGATGTAACTTTGGAGGGAAAGATGTAAGAGCCAGTGAATGGTCTGCCTTGTTGCCTTCCCACTGCTGCAGAGATCTTGGAAATTCCTGGCAAGATGAAGCCTCCATCATCTGGGTTTCTGGGGAACTCTGATCAGCCTCTGCTGACCCATGTTAGACATGCAGTGTGAGTGAAAAATAAACTTTTACTTAGTTAAGCCATTGAGATTGTGCAGGAGGTGGGTTGGGGGGGGTTGTTACTACAGTACACCTTAGTTCTGCCTAAGTAGTAAATATATAGATGAGAGGAAGTCACAACCCAAATAAAATAGTTGCAAATGAACTGAGCCCCATTTTACTGTGCTATAGCTGCTGATGGGTGGAAAGCCTATGAGTAGGACCAAAATCGCTCCTTAAGAGAGAGATATAAAGCAAACATCTTACTGATTCTACAAGAAAGTAGCTACAACTTATTGAATACATATATTTTGAAAATATTCATTCAATTAATATATTCCAGTGGATACATTTAATATACCCCTCCCACTATAAATGTAACGTTAAATCTACTTGTTTTTTTGTTTTAAGAATTATCCCAGTAACATCCTCACTACCCCTAAAGTTTTATAATAAACAGAAGATATCAAATGCCTTTCAATTCACAGCAAAGAAATTTCCCTCCAACCTCTTGTTGGAGAGAAAACTTGTGTTTGGTAAAACTGTTCAGCACTTTACAGGAAAAACAAAAAAATCCCTGAAATAGTCTTCTATGAAGGCACCTTGCCAGTCAAAAGAAATGAAGGTTGAAACTGATGTTTTTACTTGCAGATAGAACACTGCTGAACCCCTGGGGACACTGGCTGGGATTCCTTGTTCTGCACTGATTTTTCACTTCTGCCTCCACTGATGTGAGCACTGGCATGAAGCAGCCATCCTGCAGGCCTGACCAAGCAGCCTGCCGGTCTGACCCCTGCAGAGCTCAGATTTCCTGTGTGATAAATGGCTTTTTTCAGTTGCTCTCAGCTCTGACTGCTGTCCTTCCCCCTGACAGGGGAGGCACTGCCAAATGGGAACTCCCCAGGCAGAGCCTTTCAGTTTGGGTCTGGGGTACTGAGGGGTGCAGAGAATGGAGAGTTAATGCTTGGAGAAGTTATTTCCAAATGGAAGCTGGGAGCTTCCTGACTGACTGGCCAAACAGCTGTGTGAAAACAGAAGGGATGTCAACATTATGAATGAAAATGTAAAATATCCTTTGTAACCTGGTCTGCAGGTCTCCTTCCAGACACAACTGAGCTCAATAAATTGGTGGTGACCGACCGAGAGAGGCATGTAGTCCTAGCCTCAGTTCTGACTGTAATCAGCTGTGTCGACCTTGTTCAAGTCAGTCCTCTGGGCCTCCATTCCCTCACCAGAATACCAGTCATTTTAATAAACGGACCCAGCAACTAGGTGGTCTCTATTTTTAGCACGAAGGTGAAGACTGTATCTGTTGGTAGGGTTAGGGGCTAAGTGGACTAAGGGTTTCATTTCTCAGGAAAGCATATTGGCCAGTGAGGGTCTGTTGGCATCTGACACGTTGACAAGTTCTCTTATATAGAACTAATGTCCTTTGGGATCACATATGGAGTTTCAAGGATTGCAGTGAGGACAGGATGCACCTGTGTACTCTTTCTGTTCCTGATGATCAACTGAAATCTCTCTTCCTTTGACTCTGCTTAGTTGCCCCAATCGAAAGGTTAGGGGGTCAGCACAGCTTAGCTTCTAGAATCACAGTGACTTCTGGGCCAGCACCACTTCAAGGATTTAGGTATGTTCTGGGCTAGGCCAGTAGAATCTATTTTGGGATTTCCCAGAGCCATTTAAAGCTTACCCCAGAATGAATTCAAGCTCTGAGAGGACATATCCTTTCCCTGCCCCCCTGCCCACCCCCCCACTTTTTTTGAGGAAGATTAAAAAAAGAGTTATTGAAGCCTAATGATTATCAGGGGTATGAGGGGAAGGGAGGCGGGAGAGAGAGAGAGGGAGAGAGAGAAGGAGAGAGGGAGGGAGAGAGAGAGAGAGAGAGAGTGTGTGTGTATGTGTGATGTGTGCCCACAGTATGGTAACTTGAGTGAGTGGTGGGATGGTATGGGTGGGGGCATGGAAGAAGGGCGATGGGAGAAGCACAGGAGTCACAACCAAAGGAATTCAGATGGTACTGATTTTTCCAGACTCTATGATGTCTGGCAGGAAAGCCCGCCACTACTGAGGGGGCCTCTAAGGTTATGAAGTGGATGGGCTGTTGAATTCTCATTTTATTTTCAGAAATGCCCCAGGGAAGATTTTTCTCCCGCCCCTTGGGTACATACTGATATCCTTCGGAAGGACTTGAACTCCAGGTAGGTGAGGTGCTCGGAGAGCTCTTCCGGTTCCAGGTGGTCAAAGAGCAGGGAGACTTTCCGTTTCTTGCTGGTATTTGATTTTATCCTTTGAGTAAGTTTCCTGGACCAGTCACGGGCATTGCTTTTGTGGGTAAATGTGAAAGGGAGAAGACAGGGCAAAGGAATAAATCGCTTTTTGCAAGTAAATCCGTTAACATTTTTCACAAGAATATACAAAACACCATTTGCTAACTTTCCTTGGCCAAAACAGCGCATTCACAGAGTTTCTCCAAATCAGTTTTTTCCATGGCAGCAACCAAGAGGTCTTGCTGGTTTTCCGTGAGCCCTTTAAATGTGCAGTTGGGTACAGGAGCAATGAGTTTACTTTAAGGCAGTGGGAAGGAAAGAGCCTCAGGTATCGGTCAGTTTCCTTGCCTTTGGTCCTGGCCCCTTTGTGTATCCTGCGGTATGTGTGCTCCCTCCATTCCACTTGTGTGTTCCTTCAATCTCATGTGAATGATAGGGACTATCTGGTTGGAAATCCCAAGGTAGTGAGACAGTTTTCATGCCAGGAAGAGCTCAAAGAACCACAGCGAGAAGATGTCATAAAGGGAGGGAATCACGTGTAGAAACACGTGGTCACTCTTGGCAGAGTTGTGTCATTCTCCTCAAATGTCCTCAGCTACTGAAATGATCAAGGAAGCCTCGCTGACCCTAGAGTGCTCCCTGCCCCCATTATTTTCTTGTAATCAACCCATGCATTTCTTATTCAGTTTCCTTCACTAAACAAGCAAAGGGAAGTGGCCCCATTTTGAAAGACAGCAGGTTGCCTGTCTTTTCCAAACTGCGATTCCTGGGAACCTTGTCTCTTGATAAAAGGGTTCTGTAGTCAGTGAGCTTGGGAAGTGCTATAAATTTTGTAGCCTCTTTGGCCAGTGAGCATATTACACACGCTGAAAACCACTGCAAAAGGAAAGTTCATAACTCATTATACCTCAATTATATCTGGCCAAGTAATATCCCACAGACTAATAATTCCTACAGAATATACTGTGGAAAATTTTGGTCAAGAAAAGTCAGCTAGGAAATATTGGGACAGGGAGACCTGGGGTTGAGAATTGCCCTGGGCTCTAATTTCATCTTTAAAATGAAAAAACTATTGAATAATCTCTTATCTTTCAAGTTGTGTAATTTTAAGCAGAGAAGTACAGAGAATCCAAACTGATAAACGGACTTATTTGGGGCTCTGAAATATCATCTTGAAATCATTTCTGCGTGGCTGTTGTGCATCACGGACAGGGCCTCAGAGGCTAGCTGATGCTCTGTCACTAGCTTAACTAGCTGGACCCCGGAGGAGTCACATTCTTGCTGAGCCTCAATTTCCCAGTCAGAAAAATCAGGATGTTGGATGAAATGATATCTAGAATATATTATCAGTCCTAGAAGTCTATTTCTTAGGGATTTGTACTATTTCAAAATAAAGCAGCCTCACTGTGAAAACCTTGGCATACAGTGCATACATTCCCCTCCCCCTAATTAGGAAAGGCACTCATTTTCCCAGAAGGGGGTCAGTCTTATAAATAAGAATTCCAAGGAATAATTTAAAACATTCCTGGGATCCCATCCGGCTCTGGAAGTCTGAAGTGTCTTTCATAGACATCCATATATGTTAGAAGCCCTCTCCTGAATGCATTTTTTTTTTAGCAGTCCTGTCCCTATTTACAAGTTCAGGGGTGCCTCCTGGCATTAAGTGTGAGTTCAGTCATTTGCACTTTCAGTTTTTCATGATCTGGATTAATTTTAGTCAATATCTTGCTACCTGATTTCTTTTTGACTGGGACTTACTTTTTCTGCTCTTGGATATAAGTCACCTAGTGCTTTATCACTGTGCAGCTTCTCTGCTTTTCTGTTAAATGCCAAGCCTTCACTTTGGTGAGGCAGTTTGAACCTGCCTATGTGAGGGGCTTCTCAGAGTGGCGAAAGAGAGCAGCAGTCACCGCTGGGGGTCAGAAGCCTAGCAAGCAACTGGGATTATATTACAGGAAGGAGGTGGTTTCGAAAAATGAGTCAAGACCCTGACACTCACATTTGAGTTGTGTCAATCAGGCGGCAGTGTAACTCCTCACCCTTAGCTTTCACCAGTTCCTGAAACTCCTCCATAGTGTCTGTCAAGCTGGCATCCATTTTAAACATGACCCAGAATTCTGTTATCCAATACCTACAAGAAGGGGGTTAAAAAACACAATCCAAAACTGATACCTAGGGCTCACAATGTGTTGGGTTCACAAAGGAATCTACTGCCACAAAGAGAACTCAGAAAAAGGCAAAGTCTGATTCATCTACTAGTATACTGAAGGAGCTGGGGTGGGAGCAGAGAAGGAAGAAACCTATCCATTGAAAACCTTCTGTCCCTCCACACAAATGCTGTGGTAGGGTAAGGCATATCGCAATCAAAGGAGCCATGACAAAGATTCAGGCGCAATCATGTGGGTCAGAGATAATTACAAAGGACAGAACTATAGATAAACTAAATGTCCCAAATGAGGCAATCTATTCATAGGTTATGCTTTATCATATTCGAATGTTACATGGCTATTAAAAAGAATGTTTACAAAAAGTCTTTAATGACTAGAGAAGATTCTCATGCTATAAAGTTAAGTGAAAACTAGAGGATATAAAGCCGTATATATATTTTCATCTCAAAAAATTGGCATGAAAACAAGACAAAGGAAATATACCAAAATAGGTAACTGGATATGAGTGATCATTATTATAGTTACATTCTTTTCTACATTTTAAAAAATGTTCTATAATAAGCTATATTACTTGTATAATTAAGAATAAAAGTAAAGAAAATGACAGACCTTTAATTATTTCTCTGTTCCCTCCTTTATGTCATTTGATACCAAAGACTGAAAAAAGGTTGGTCTAAAATAATTAAGCTCAGGTACATCAGAGAAAATTCACTGTTATGAAGGACTGCTCTTTTCCGTCTGTCCAAAGGTGTTCTATAGGGTCAGGAGAGGCAGGGAAAGTCCCTTGCTTCACCTTTCATTTCACCTTGCTCCACAGAATCTTGAAATACATAGAAAACATTACCTTACAAAATAGCAGATCTTCAGGCAAAGTCCTGGTGAATTCTTTGCCAAAGCTTCCTTATAGGTAGGGCTGTGGTTAAGGGAAATGGAGGCCTGTTACAGAAATCAAACGACTTTCCATCTTTGGAAGTATCTGCTGAAACTACCTCCCCAAATATTTTTTCTAAAAAATGAAAATGTGATGCTTTATCTTTCTGGCCAAAGGATAAAAACCAACTTGATGTGTCCAGCTGTATGCATATTATCGCCTAGAAAGGTGATTATGGTAATTTTCTCTCCAGCCCATGTCAACCTGGCTTACGGAAGGAGGCAGCAGCACCGCAGAACTGAGAAATGAATACTGTAAAGAGGTCCCAGGACAGGTAACTTATAAGAAGTGAAGAAGGGGCAAATGACTCCTTGCCTGTGCTCAAAAAGCAGCCCCTATGAAGGACAAATGAAGCAGGAAAAAAAGAAAAAACAGCAGCCCCATTTATCTTTTAAAATGTTTCTTTTAACTGATACACATGTATGCAGTGAATTCGAAGAGGAAGAAACACATATTCAGATATGTCATGATAATGAAGAACAATAATATGAAAGTTACAACATATACACCTAGAGGATGTCAGTAGACTGACCTCATAGATTGTAACGGCAAGTCGGACAGACCGTGTGAAGAATCTGAAACAAAACTGGAGATCACCTTAAGGATCCTTTGCATTCTGAGCATTCCAAGAATATGAAAGAATAGCAAGATCTCATCAAGTTCACATATCTTTAAAGATAAATGGAAGAAAATATTCATTTATTTTAAGAGTGAAAGAAATGAGAACTCCAATGCCATAATGAGCCTGAGTAGGTCCTGCCATTTCCCATCAACAGACTGAGGCATCAGGCTGTGTGGGCTGTGTGCCCGTAAAGGCCATGCCTTGTTTTCCTTCTGAAAACTGCATAATGACTACAATATAGGGTTCAGTGAATTCCAGCTGGGCCCATGAGAGGAATCCAGTGAACAACCCAGCAAAAATTTTAATTAACTGGGACAGGACTGGTCTTCCTTCTGTGGGTGTACGTATTTTAACCTTTGGAAAATTTAGAGTTAAATAAAAGTAAAAGAATGAAAATCGTAGTACTGATCTTTTTGGTTTGGAAGGAAATCTGTGCATTTTGAAATTATATATGCTTGTAATGTTTAAAAGCATATTAGAATGATAGTGTTGAAACTTCAATTTGCAATATATAATTAAGTTCTTTAGACTTGTGGTTTTAAATTGAAACCTTATTAAGTTTATGCATGGCTTTGGAACATCTAAGATAATGATAGCTTTACTGTTTATAAATTTAATCTATTAGAGTTTATAAAAAGACTATTTAGAATTCAGGGAGGTATCTGAAGCACTTAAAAATTATCTAAGATATAAAATGCAGAACTGTAGTTTAAAACCATTGGAAATATTTAATTAACATTACTGAAATTAACGAAACATTTTTCAAAGTCCCTTAAAAATGCTTGCTGAAACATGCTAGACTTACAGAAACAGTAAGATTTGCAAGCTAAACTTGAAACCCTAAATAAGAACTATGGTTATAAAATTTGTAATTTTAATAAAATGACTTCTAGTTTTAAAAATTACATTTTAATACATGTACTGCCTATAAAATCTGCCCTTTAGATCACAGCACCAAAACAAAAACCCACAAAACCCTACATATCAACAAAGGTAATTGACATAAAAATAAGTGCAGGGAACTGGCAGACTTCATGATGTAGAAAGTTTTTGTGACTGCCTTTCTTTGGGTGGGAAGGTAGAAGTGAGAATGAGATGGCTTTATGTTTCTTTATGCCACATCACTAAGAAAAGGCACCACTTCAATGCAGAGAGATTCAGGCATAAGGCACATAGATAAATACCTCTCAGATTCTATATTGTTATCATTTGTTCTACTTGTTGAAATTTTTATTCTTCCATTTTAAAGGGGAAGGCACAAAAACCACACTTCTGTTTTAAAGCTAAGTAGATACATTAAATTGACATGGTGACTTTTACTGTGTCATTCACCTTCTCCCAGTGGCTCCTTATCCTTTCCTTCAAAACTGTATTCTGACAGTGCACATTGGCTGCACGTTGGTTACACCGTGGCGCAGCATCAATGCTGTAAATCCAGTCAGTCTACACATGAGTGCTGAGCCTGGGCACCATTCAGAATGCCATTCAGAGGTCCTTAGAGCCCCTATGCCATGGCAAAGGCTGCCCACCACGGGAGCAGGGCACCCTCTTTCTCACTTCATTCAGGAGCTGAAACAAATACCAGCACATGCAGGCTAAACAGTAAGAGGCTCAGGCATCTGCTGATCTTTGTAAACTTCAGTGTTTGCTGGAACCCTCAGACCCCAGACCTTTTTCTTCTCTTCATAGCTAGTACTATGGCTATAAAGTACCAGTACAGTTCTGACTGTACTTTTCAGGCATCCAAACTATTCAAAGCATGTTTTCAAATTTATCCCACTCTTCTTTTAACAACGGAAATCAAGAGACCATCTGAGCTTATTTAACTAAAAATTATATTACTTCCAGGTCAGAGAACAGGGAAACTAAGCGTAAAGAAAGAAAATAATTTTGCCTTCAATGTTTAACCTGGCTTTCATTACAGGAGTATTATTTCATACTCTCAGAATCCCTTCCCCTACCCCAGGTTACATCTTTATCACATGTAAAAGTTCTTGTAAATGCAAAAAGTATCCCAATGTTTGCACCCATAGTAATGCAACATTTATAGTGTCCTACCATGAAATAGCCACGAAACTAAGTTCTAGATACAAGATAAATAAGCCTTGCTCCCTATCCTTGAAAAACAGAGTCTAGTGGGGGAGATGACACACAAATAGGTAAGTTACAGTGTATGTACTTTTAAAATACAAAAATATATTTATATCTTGCTTAATTTGTAATTCAATCAACTTTTCAGTACCCTTGCAATCTTTATATTATTAACCAAATTGAAATCACAGCAGCTAGACACAAAGGTTCTGCGGTTTACTTAAAACGGTCATCTACAAAGACCAGAGGACACAGGCATTACACTGCAAAACTTACAGACTGAAGTTTAGGTAGACAGATTCATTTGGCTAACAGAATAAAAACACTTCCCACTCCCTGTGGGTTTTCCAGCGCAGACTACATCCAGGCCAGAGATAGGAGAAACACACTTTGACTTAAGCAATACAAAACTAAAATCAAAGGAATTAAATAGATTTTCAATCAAGAATACTACTTTAAAACACTAGAAGTATTTTTAAAAGGGGAGAAGGGCTGGAAAAGTCAGGAAAAGCTTCCCAGAAGGGTACTGAAAGAGCTTGCTAAAACAAAGAGGGTAGAGAGGCTTTGAAGGCACAGGAATTATAAAAGGCCCTATTACATCCAGTATGTTGAGAAGTTCAGTGAGGAAGGGAAAGGGTTTCTCAGAGAGCTACGGAATGAAGCAGGAAAAACTCGCTGGGGACAGACTGAGGAGGCCCTTTTCCTGGCAAGCTAAGGAGCTGACATTAACTCCGTAGTCTGCAGAGGCTCAGAAGCAATGGCCTGCCCAATTTGCTTTGTAGGAAAGAATTTCAAGGGTAGCCACCATGAGGTGGGGTAGGCGGACCATGTAGATACAATGACCGGTATGGGACAGGGGTCCGGGAGAGGGACTGCGGAGACATGAACTAAGGCATGGTATAGGAATGGAGAGCAGAGACCAGGTAAGGGGGTGACAGACTGTAGGAGGTGGAAGCAGGGGAAAAGTCAAGAGTGCTTCTGATGTTACTGGTTTAGGCAAGAATAGATACTAACACTATTAACTGAAATTGACCATGACAATACACTCATGTGCTGCATAACATTTTGGTCCATGACGGACCACATCTATGACAGTGGTCCCATGAGATTAAAATGAAGCTGAAAAATTCCTGTTGCCTCGTCATGTCTTCATAATCCTGACCCAATATAGGCCTAGGCTACTGTATTTGTGTCTTAGATTTTGACACCAAAGTTTAAAAAGTAAATAAACATTAAACATTTTTAAAACAAAAAAGCTTATAGAATATAAAGAAAATATGTTTGCACAGCTGTACAGTGTGTAGAGTCAAAGTTTTAAAAATTAAGTTTATAAAGTCACAGTAAGCTAAATTATTATTGAAGAAAAGTATTTTTTATCAATTTAGTATAGCCTAAGTATATAGTGTTGATAAAATCTACCGTTGTGTACAGTAATGTCCTAGGTCTTCACATTCACTCACCACTCACCCCTGACTACCCAGAGCAGCTTCCAGTCCTGCAGGCTCCATTCATGGTAAGTGCCCCCCATGCATACCATTTTTTAATCTTTATACCATATTTTTACTGTACTTTTTCTATGTTTAGATACATACATACTTACCATCGTGCTACAACCACCTATAGTCTGCAGTACAGTAACCTGCTGTACAGGTTTGTAGCCCAGGAGCAACAGGCTGTACCATGTAGCCTAGCAGTGTAGCAGGCTACGCCATCTAGGTTTGTGTAAGTCCACCCTTTGCTGTTCACACAATGGCGGAGTTGCCCAATGATGTATTTCTCAGAATGCAGCCTAGTGAGGCAAAACAAGGCTGTACCAGTGTCAAAGGAGAATGAATGAGGTAGTGGCTGTGGGTGGGGACAGTGAGCTAATGAATATATTAAAGTCTTAAGTGTTAGCAGGACAAACTGATATAAACCTAAGAAAAATGGTTTAGGTTAGATGGCTGGGTGCAGTGGCTCATGCCTGTAATCCCAGCACTTTGGGAGGCTGAGGTGGGAGGATGACTTGATGCCAGGAGTTTGAGACCAGACCAGGCAATAGAGTGAGACCCCTCTCCCTGCACCAATTTCCAAAAAAAAAGGGAAAGGTTTAAGTTAGAGAAATGCAGACTTGAAAGTCACCATCAGCACAGAAGAATGGTGGAAACCGTGGTAGAAATTCTGGTGAGAAATCACCCACAGAAAGGAAGCTGAGTGAAAGGAAAACCAGGACATTATACCTATATGTAAGCAGAGCTCAAAGAAGCCTCTAGGTGAAAAGCTGGAGAAGGCACAACCCAAGATGTGGGAAAGCCGGGAGAGTGCAGTTCCTGGAGCCTGGAGGGACAGCTGGGAGGAGAACGGGGTTGTCAGTCATGCCCAATGCTTCTGGGGGTCAATGGAAACAAGGATGAGAAAAAGCCATTGGGCTTTGCAGTTAGGAGGTTACTGGTGACATCAGAGGAAAGTTCAAATACTGGGGGCCAACTTAACACTGTTACGAAGTGAGGAAGACTAAAGAGATTGGACATAGTGAGTGTGGACTATTTTAAGACGCTTTCACATCAAATTTTTAACCCTAACAATGAAATGAAGGGGAGGTAGGGTTAAGAGCTGATTTTTAGATGAGGAGACTTGAATGTGTTTTAGGCTAAGGGGCAGGTGCCATTGAAGAGGTAGAGTTTGAAAGTAGAGGAGAGGCAATAGCTGGTGGAGTAAGATTCTGTAAGAAGTATGAGGGACCATGGGAAGAGGAGAGGGGGGTCTGCTCCACTGTGTAGGCACCCAGTAGTGCACTAAGGGCAGGAACCCCAAGGTACAATTTTGGGTTTTTTTTTGAGACAGAGCCTCACTTCATTGCCCAGGCTGGAGTGCAGTGGTGCAATCTCAGCTCACTGCAACCTCCACTTCCCAGGTTCAAGTGATTCTCCTGCCTCAGCCTCATGAATAGCTGGAATTACAGGCATGTGCCACCACACCCGGCTAATTTTCATATTTTTAGTAGAGATGGGGTTTCACCATGTTGGCCAGGCTGGTCTCGAACTCCTGACCTCAAGTGATCTGCCCGCTTTGGCCTCCCAAAGTGCTGCGATTACAAGTGAGTTACTGTGCCCAGCCACCCCAGGTACAATTTAGTCCCTAGGCCAACAAACAAGTTTTTAGGGAGGAGTATTTAATCATTGATATTGTTTATAATCACTGGTACATGAAGTTAATAAAAAGTAGGCATTGAGTTGGTTTCATGACGGTTTAAAATTCTCTGCAGAAGAGGCACCCACTTATGACCTGCACCTCTTATTTATGTGCACTTCTCCCAATGCTCCCCC